ATGGGAGTGTAGCGTAAAGTGTGGCGTGTGTATGTTGAACTTTTTTGTCGCACCGTGCGTAGTCAGCCGTTGCTAATCGGAGGTGGCGGACGAAGGACAACGAATTAAGCACAAGGTGCGGTTATAAAGAAATTAGTTTTTTTTTTTACAATTGTTATAGTGGTGAAGTGTACAGTCGCGTAGTGTACAGTCGTATAGTAGTGTGTAGTGTAGTGCATAGAAGTTTAGAGGGGCGTCCATAAATGACGTCACGCACCTGGGGGGTGGTGGCGGGGGGGGGTGGGTCAGACATTTGTGACGAGGAGGAGGGGGGGGGGTGAGAAATGTGACGTCACGTCAAAATGGGCAACTTTTAATAAATATAGACACAACACGTTCTACTTAATTAAATAGACTTTTTTTTAATAAATTATTTATACAACAACATCAGAGTGCAGCGCCACATTAAATACGCACTACTACAATGACAATAGTTTAAAGCGATTTGAAGCATGTTTTATAATAATAAAAAATTTTGGGGGGGGGGGGGGGCAGAGCTTTGTGACGTCATATTTTAGTGGGGGGGGGGGGGTCTGACTTTTTGTGACGTCGTGTGACGAAGGGGGGAGTGGGGTCAAAAATCGTCCAAAATCGCGTGACGTCATTTATGGACGGCCCCTTAGTGCATAACGTGGTGCATAGTGGTGTAGAGCAGTGTAGTGTATAGCGTCGTGCATAGTAGTGTAGTGTATAGTGTAGTGTATAGTGTGGTGTATAGTGTGTGTGTGTGTTTGTTGAGCTTCTTATGCACCGTGCGTAGCCAACCGTGATCAGCGAAGGGAAGAACAACGAACTTAACGCATTTTTACCCCGGTTCTCCGTTTTAAAAAAAAAACTAAAACAGTTTGAACAAGCTGCTAGGCAGTCAAATAAAATGGAGGCCGGAATATTGGAGCGAATTTTAATTAAGTCGAGTGTAGCGTACAGAATATTTAGGTTCAACGGGATATTGAGGAAGTTCATGAAATATATTAGCGCCGTCTGTCTCGTAGTAGCCTCCCACCTTTGCCGAAGCCTTCAATAAAAATAATAATAATAATGCGTTCACATGGAACTTCCGAGAGAAAAAAAAACTTACGAAAAAAACTTACGATTTTTTTTTATTTTACCAGGTCAGGCCCCACTGAGCTATATAGATATATAATATTTTTTTTTTCAGATGCAACCTGGCTCTCACAAACGATAGCTCGATGAGGCGGCGCATCGTCAGCATCATCATCGTTTGGAAGTTTATAGTAGCAGCAAAAATACTCTGAACGCTTGATGTTGATTCTAAATGTGGAGGGGGAAGCAAAATCCCTTCTACGTCGCGACTTTACCGAAAGAACCAATAACATGAATCCCTGCAGTCACGAAAGCTTTCAATCAAAACTTAGGCGTTAAGATGTTCAAACACCAAACAGACACTTTTTTCCAAGGAATAATGTCTGCGTTGACCACATGTGCTTGTGGCGAACATGCAACAAAAAAAACAACAGATGTATTACCGAAACGTCGTCATTTATTTTATTTCATACCTACATGACTTTAGCGAAAGATCCAAAGAGGATGTATTACCGAAGCTATCACCAGAAGGTGTGTACAGGATTAACTGCACTTTTGGTAAATGCTATGTTGGGCAAAACAGGACGAATGATCAGCACGAGACTAAAAGAATATCAGAGAAATATTAAATTATCCTAAATGCAACTGTCAGCAGTAGCAGAACACGCGGGCCAACAAGGGCACTCGATTGATTTTGATAATGTTGAAGTTATGTGCAAAAATAGCTACTACTAGCCAAGACTAATTAGATAACCGTTCGTGTAGCTACCAACTTAGTGCTGCGTGGAAGCGAATAATCAAATATACAGGGCACCATACTTCAATAGGGATTACCGTTGGTACGGCTATTTTAATACACACAATGGACAGGAAGGACAAGATCAAAGGGCTCTCATAATGCGCATGCATCATGTACGTTGACTCTGTAATCCCACCTCCACCCCACTTTGCACAAGAGCGCATAAGCGTGGTCACCACATCTACGCCTCTATGTAAGGAACAAAACAGCTGGACTTCTCCACAAGTCTGGCTGTCGCCTGATGAAGCTGGTTGTAATTACTGGCGAAACGTCGTTACTCAGATTGTAAATGTTGTGGCTTGGCTCTCCAACACACCGGTGTGCTGTACTAGTATACTACACTATACACTACACTATACACTACACTATACACTACATACTACACGATACACTAGTGCTGTACTAGTGACGAATTGGCATGTTCTGTTTACGTGACAACCCTTACTAGTTGGCTGTGTTGGGTGGTGGCCAGTTTTAACGGCACATTTATATATTTACACGATCTAACCCCCCCCCCCCAAAAAAAAAACACAACCTCTATTATTAACAAAAACACGCTCTGGTACAACCAGCTAAAAGGGTAAAAACCTATTACTATACCTTGTTGCTGGCAAAGGAGGTCTCATAATGTAAAGGCTTACCCCGAGCTCTCAATACTCTGATAGTGCGCTGTTTTTTGAGTTGTACGCCTTATGGTGTCATCTGGTCCAGCACCAGTGGAGACTAGGCTCTAAGAAAAGCCGTCTCGGGTGTGGACCAATCAAATTCAAGGACAGTGCCAATATTATCATTATCAGAGTTGTCTCTTTTGTTTGCATTTTTGACTGCTCGTGTTGTGGTTATTGCAAACATGATGCCTTGTATAAAGGTGTCCGTTTTTGTGCCAGCTAAAAGGGTAAAAACCTATTACTATATCTTGTTACTGGCAAAGGAGGTCTCATAATGTAATAGTTTATAGTTCTTTTGCTAATGGAAACGGAAGCAATCTCGGAGCACAACTCCAACATAGCAACAGCACCAAAACAACACCCCATCATACTCAAACCAATTATCCATGCATCACTGTTCATAAATTGCCTGTAATTTTGTTTTAAATTATGAATTAACTAATTCGCAAACACCGTTAATTAATAATGTTATCGTCGGCAAATTAACCAAAAAAATCTACTTATCGCAAAATTCTTACATGTAACAAACCGTTTATTACACATTATTTATCATGATTCGTTAATTAGGAATGATGTATTACTAATACTACCGTGGATATGTCGTTGTGTGAGGAATAATTTTATCGCAGCAATAAAATCATTAGCCTCTTAACACAACTGTCAACGATGACTCCTAAGAAAAAAAAAATCCAAATTGACTGCATAGACGAACGAGGATAACCGAAGGCCTGGCCATGTTCTGCCAGGCCGAACGTGCGATTCGCTGTGGCTCGTTAACCGCGACCGAATTTACTCCGCTAAACGCTTAAACATCTACCCTGGTGCTCCTGTCATGCGAGTTAATTTAACATTCCCGCGAACTATTAGAGACCAAATTACATTCCAATCTCACCGACGATTAGGCGAACGACGTTTTGGTTACGCCCGCCAAAAAGTGAGCTCGACGGACCTGATCGGAGCGCCACGTCGGCCTGAGCTTGCGTATGGTGGGCTCGCTCACGTGATATTGTTGCCAGGCAACACAAACAATGGAACCAATAGAGCAGACCCGCAGAGACACAAAGAGATAGACAGAGAACCATAGAGACATAGAGACTCATAAATACATATATATATTTCACCAGGCAAAGCCCTCTGAGCTCTGTAGCTCGTTTCCACAAGCGACCTGGCCATAAATGATACCTAAACGAGGTGGCTTATTAGAGTAAGTGACGCCTGTACATTTAGAGTTTGCGTGTCTCTCTTCCGGTGGTCGCCGTGGAGTTTTCTCCGGGTCCTCCCGTTTTTCCCCGCCACATATCGAAACAACGTCACGCGTTTAGTGTACTTGGCTGCTAAACATGTCCACGCGATGATGAGCCGCTTCGTTGAGCTGTCATTTGTGATGGCCGGGTTTGCTTCTGAAAATGACTAACCCAGCTCAGTGGACCTTACCTGACAAAATAAAAAAACTAAAATTGAGGGTTTTTTTTGGGGTTAGATCGCGTAAATATATAAATGTGTCGTTAAAACCCACCACCACCCGACACAGCCAACTAGTAAGGGTTGTCACGTAAACAGAACGTGGCCAATTCGTCACTAGTACAGCACTAGTGTAGAGTGTAGTATATAGTGTAGTGTATAGTGTAGTGTAGCAGTGTATAGTGTAGTGTATAGTAGTGTATAGTGTAGTGTAGTAGTGTATAGTGTAGTGTATAGTGTAGTGTATAGTTGTGTATAGTGTAGTGTATAGTGTAGTGTATAGTGTAGTGTATAGTGTAGTGTATAGTCGTGTACAGTGTAGTGTATAGTAGTGTATAGTGTAGTGTATACTAGTGTATAGTAGTGTATAGTAGTGTATAGTGTAGTGTATAGTGTAGTATACTAGTACAGCACACCGGTGTGTTGGGGAGCCAAGAAACAACATTTACAATCTTCTGTACGACGTTTCGCCAGTAATTACAACCAGCTTCATCAGGCGACAGCCAGACTTGTGGAGAAGTCCAGCTGTTTAGTTCCTTACATAGAGGCGTAGATGTGGTGGCCACGCTTCTGTGCTCTTGCGGAAAGTGTTTGGTGGGGGGGGGGGGGGTGGGCATTAATGAGTTAATGCACATTATGCATCCACATTATGTGAGTCCTTCGATCTTGTTCGCGAAAGCCTGCTCGTTAAACCGAAATAAAAAAAAAACTAGTTTAACGGTCTGCAGCAATGCAGACTCCATGCCTGGCGGTACGTGTCTGTTCACCGTTCGATCATCTCACGATCACCCCCTGCAATCCTTGAGGCAGACGGACGTGTTGGCGGTACGACGCTGGGGCAGTGTAACGCGCCGGGCCCTGACGAAGGCAGTCTGACGGTGTCACGGCTACCCCTTCGTGGAGCTGCAGGACCCCTCCATCAGAAGTTGCACTTGAAGTTGAGATTCGGTGGCCGCTCCGCCCTTCGAGCGCGCGGCGACATCCTCTTGATGGCCAAAGCGTCCGCCAAGCAGCGATTTCCGGAAAGGAACTGGGGAACAAACCGTCCGACCAAGTCTCGGGGGCAGGGCGAAGGTGAAATCCTTGCCGCCTTGGGAACACAGAGCCAACTGGTGTACATACCGGGCGATGGGCGCTGCCGTACGGCGACAGACGGTGCGAAGCTTCAGCGGAATACCCGTGTCAAGCACTTGACACGGGTATTCCGCTGTGACGGTTCCACCTGAAGACGGAAGCTTGTGTTGCCTCCGAAACGTCGTGGTTTAATTGTTTTTATTTTTTTTATTTTATTTTACCTACGTGACTTTACTGAATAAAACCAAAGAGGTGCGAAGCTTCTTCTTGGTTCTTTCGGTAAAGTCACGTAGAATGGGAATAAAATAATAACAATAACAAAATAAAATTCTCACGACGTTTCGGCCACAACACAAGTAGCCTTCCTCAGGTGAAGAAACAGAACTGTCGGGAAGACAGCGCTTGAGTGAACACTGCCAAGCTTGGCAGCGTCTTTAAAGCTGTGTGGGAGGAAGGAGTTTACACATCAACAGTAACTGTGTTAATGCGTTGGATAAGCAGGATGTTGACGTCAGAAATTAGCATGTAACTGGGGGATTAGCATGATGTTGGTGTGAGGGATTAGCACCACGGAGAGCGACGAGCTTTGTTCAGACGGACGAGTCCATCTATGTTTCGGAACGGAGGAGGGGGGAGAAGAGTGCGAAGCTTCTTCATTGTTCCGCCTGCTCGTACGAAGGGTTCCGTCTCGCGGCCGCTTCAACATCACGGCAACTGATTTTGATGCACAACCACCACCACCACCCCACAAAGACTTTCTGACCGGGGGTTGCGAATCGCAGGATAATGAATATTTAAATATATTTTACTTTTACTTAAATATATTTAAATTTTTTGTACATATCTACCGATCATCACCCGTGTACTGCCAACACGTTCAAGATGTCCTCAGAATCTGCGGATTCACCTTGACACCCGAGGCCTGGCATCTCGCCCGCTCCACCGCTGTACCCGTGTAGCAGAGGTACTTGGCCTCTTGCTGAGATGTCAGAATTAGAATCGGAAACATTTAATTTATACCAGAAGCAACAACAAAAAACACCCAACAATATTTTTTGATTTTAAGCTTTCGTGACTGCAGGGATTCATATTTTTGACAGATTCATATTTTTGACAGATGGACAGATGGACGGACAGACAGACCGACAAACAGCCAGACAGATTAACAGACGGCCAGGCGGACAGACAGCCAGACAGAGAGACTGACCAACCAACCGACAGACAAACAGACTGACCGACCGACAGACAGACAGACAGACCGACCGACCGACCATCAGACAGATAGCCAGACTGACAGACTGACCAACCAACCGACCGACAGACAGCCAGCCAGACAGACAAACAGACCAACAGACAGAGAGACAGATCGATAGCCAGACGGACAGACAGACCAACTGACCGACCAACCGTCCGACCGACCGACTGACTGACCGACAGACAGACAGACAGCAAGACAGACCAACGGACAGCCAGACGGACAGAGACAGACAGACAGACAGAGAGCCATTCAGCAAATCCTTCAGACAAGTCAAATCAGAGTTGCCCTTCCAAATGGCTGGCAGCCAGAGCAGATAGACAGACGGACAGCCGGACAGACGGACAGATGGACAGACAGACAGAGAGACTGACCGACAGATAGACCGACAAACAGCCAGAGAGATTAACAGACAGGCAGATGGACAGACAGCCAGACAGTCAGACTGACCGACAGCCCCGACCGACTGACAAACCGACAGACAGACAGACAGCCAGACAGACAGACAAACAGACAGAGATACAGACCGATAGCCAGACTGACAGACAGACCGCTCGACAAACCGACTGCCAGACAGCCAGACAGACCAAGGGACAGACAGCCAAACGGACAGCCAGACAGACCTACAGACACACCAATAGCCAGCTCGCCCACCGGACAGACAAACAGACAGACCGACCGACAGGCAAACCAACGGACAGACAGACGGACAGACAGCCAGACAGACAGACAGGCAGCCATACAACAGACAGCCAGCCACTCCTTCAGACAAGCGTTTCTTAACAAAAGGTTATCAATCCTTATTAAATAAAGTTAGTGGCCTCTCACTTTGTCATACTGGCCTTGCCAATTACTGAGTCACGCACAGTGGGGGGGGGGGGGGGGTCACTATGTAGCCCCCCCCCCGACACAACGTGAAGTTCATTCACGAACCCTTGCACTGGGAGAGAGCATTAAAGGGTCCTCATTATACTCAACTCCCCCACCCCCCCCCTCCCAACAGTAAGCGAAAACAAAACAAACAATCATAAAAACCTCCGCGAGTTGCAAATTCGTTCACCCCGACGACCCAGCAGTTAATAATCCTGACCCATCGTGTTTGGCCATTAAAACCCACGCCGGCTCACTTCGTCTAAAAGGGCCCCATTTGGTCTGACTCCCCCCCCCCGCCTTCCCCCCCCCCCCCCCCACGTAACACAATGCTGTAGGGCGACGGTTCTTGTGCGCGTCGCGGCGGTCGGGAGATGCAGAATCATTAGAGCGTGTGAGCAGCGTCAGGTTATCCTAGGAGCAAAAGTAGCTCCGCATGCTACGAAGGCGCCGCACTTTCAAGCTATCAATTCCGGTTGCAGTGATTCTGCTCTTGCTCGATTACAATAGTACTGTACTGCCTTCAACAACTTTTACGAACGACTGGTTGTTTAAGGCGGTCAGCGATGCGTCGTATTATCTGGCTGGATAGCAAATGAGAAAAAAAAATACAATTACTTTACTCTGCAAGTTAAACATGTTTTTTTTTAATATTTAAGTGTTTTTTATTTTTTTTATTTTATTTAGGGCCCCTTTATAACATACGCTTACAGACTCCGCACTAGCTTCATCCGGCACTGGGAAGGGGGGGGGAGGGCGGTACGGAGCCGACCGTGCTCATCGGAGGTGCGAAGGACAACAAGAAACTAGGGCGCACGAAAGCGGTTCTAAAGAAATGCGTTTGTCCTTGTCGATGGATGATCATTTAAACGTGCGCGGTTTCTGGCCGCTTCCGAGTAGCGGGAAGGAAGGAGCGCTTCCAGACGGCCGCGGAGATCCGAAATCGCCGCGAGACAACGCGGTGAACCACCGCCTTTGACCGATGGCCGGGCCAAAAATTCGCCCCTGCAGCTGCTGCGAAGATGACGACCGGGGAGTTGGTGTGGCGATGGTGGTTTGCGCTCCTTGGCAAAATCGGCGAAATAGTGCGGTGGTTTCATTGTTTTTGTTTTTTTGTGGCGAGCGCTTTGTGTGCGATGAGCGTGACCTGATGAAGAGGTGGCTTTTTGCAGGTCATTGGCTCAGAGCTGATGGCATCACATTCACCCGGCCTTGATTTGAAACCGAAACAGGAGGAGGATGCATCCACAATTCTGGCTGTCCCCTGATGATGCAGGTTGTTGTTGTTGTAATAACCGGCGAAACGTCAATGTGTAAACAGTTGTGGTGGGTTTACTCTACCAACACGCAGCCGGTGAGTGCTGAATGAGTAACGAATTGGCATTTTTTTTGTTGATGTGCAAAAGCTTTACTAATTAGCTGCGTCGGCGTGGTGGCGGATTTAACGACGCATCTATATCTACGCGATCTAACCCCCAAAATAACTTCTGTTATGGATGATATTGGTCGCGAAAGCCCACGTGGTCATACGGCGCATTTGTCCTCATTGTCGTTGCAAATCATTTGCGGGTGATGTTTTAAAAGCTGTAAATTCTGCCTGGTTGCAACCACTGCCAAATCTTGAAAGTAATAACATCGTCCGGTCATTATCATAGGGGGTGGGCATTGGCTTAGACTTTGCCACGTGCGCTTGGGCCTTAGCAAGCGGTGGGGTTGCATGCTGAGCTAAGACGGCTTTAATATTTAATTCGCGTAAATATGAGTGGCGGGGTGGCAGGGCGTTTGGTGGTGGTGGGGGCGGGGGGGTTGAAATCCATTGCCGCCCTTTCGTTCAGTTGTGTCGCATTGGAAAGATTACCAAAAAACACATTCTCCGACAAACATTCGTGCGTATATAAATTGAACCCCCCCTCCCCCTACCTCCCCCCCTCTCACCCCCCCGAGAGGCAGATTTTGTTGCCTTTCAATCCCCATTCAGCCATTCATTATTCATTGCATTTGCCTATTTCGACGCATCCACTTCCCCCACCCACCCACCCAACCGCATTGGTGCTGAGCCAGAGAGCTCTGCTGGTGGTGGTAATCCGATCCCCGGCGCGTGTCGACGTCTCTCCCCCCCCCCACCCCTCGGGGCATTTTCGGAGCCGTGTGAGATGGAGTGAGAGAGAGAGAAGAGATGGAGAGAGCGAGGGAGAGATGGAGAGAGCGAGAGAGAGATGGAGAGAGCGAGAGAGAGATAGAGAGAGAGATGGAGAGAGAGATGGAGAGAGCGAGGGAGAGATGGAGAGAGCGAGAGAGAGATAGAGAGATGGAGAGAAAGATGGAGAGAGCGAGGGAGAGATGGAGAGAGCAAGAGAAAGATGGAGAGAGGGATGGAGGGAAAGAGAAAGATGGAGTGAGAGAGATGGAGCGAGAGAGATGGAGAGAGAGAGAGATGGAGAGAGAGAGAGATGGAGAGAGAGATTGAGTGAGAGAGATGGAGCGAGAGAGATGGAGAGAGTGAGAGAAAGATAGAGAGAGAGAGATGGAGAGAGATGGAGAGAGCGAGAGAGAGATGGAGATAGCGAGTCAGAGATGGAGAGAGCAAGAGAAAGATGGAGAGAGGGATGGAGGGAAAGAGAAAGATGGAGTGAGAGAGATGGAGCGAGAGAGATGGAGAGAGAGATGGAGAGAGTGAGATGGAGAGAGCGAGGGAGAAATGGAGAGTGCGAGAGAGAGAGATGGAGAGAGAGATTGAGTGAGAGAGATGGAGCGAGAGAGATGGAGAGAGTGAGAGAAAGATAGAGAGAGAGATGAACCGAGAGAGATGGAGAGAGCGAGAGAAAGATAGAGAGAGGGATGGAGAGAGAGATGGAGAGAGCGAGGGAGAAATGGAGAGTGCGAGAGAGAGATGGAGAGAGAGATTGAGTGAGAGAGATGGAGCGAGAGAGATGGAGAGAGCGAGAGAAAGATAGAGAGATGGACTGAGAGAGATGGAGAGAGCGAGAGAAAGATAGAGAGAGAGATGGAGAGAGAGCCGGTAAGAAGCCCGCGGTGGACCTCGGCGTGCTGGAGGAAGACGACGAATTCGAGGAGTTCCCAGCCGAAGACTGGACGGGGCTGGACGAGGACGAGGACACGCACGTGTGGGAAGACAACTGGGATGACGACAACCTGGAGGAAATATTTCTCAAATCAGCTGAGGGCCGAGCTTGAAAAGCACGGACATAAGATGGAGACCTCGTAGAGAAGGAATGACGTTTGTGGAGGGGAGGGGCGGAGAGTCTTCAAAGCCCCCCACACCACCGTTTGGCTTTTGCATTAAAATAATGCCTCCCGCGATCTCTGTTTTTTTTTTTGTTTATCCATGACCTGTTCTTGGAGTCGTCACCGAAGAGAAAGGGGATGAGTTGTGGAAAGCAAACGTGAAAAATTGTCACCATTCTCCAGCCATGTTGGATTTGTTTAATGTCCTGTTGGGATTTTCACCGTTCGGAATCAAGTTTAATATTTTGAAAAAAAAAAGAGAGAGATGGAGAGAGATGGAGAGAGCGAGGGAGAGATGGAGAGTGCGAGAGAGAGATGGAGAGAGAGAGATGGAGCGAGAGAGATGGAGAGAGCGAGATGGAGAGTGAGAGATGGAGCTGCTGTTGTAGAAGGGCACCCCCAGTTTCCTGAAGATGTTCCCAAAAAGGCAGAACATTGGGTTGAGCCGCTGGCAGCGTAAGTACTTGTGGAGCAGAACATCCCTGGCACCGCAGAAAATGCACAAGTCTGTTACCCCTGGCGAGATTCGGCTGAGCCACACGGCTAGAGAGAGCGAGATGGAGAGAGCGAGATTGGCAGAGAGATGGAGAGACTTTTGACTTTTAAACAACTTTCATTGCCGCCAGCAGCAAAAGCACTGGAGGCGATTTCGATATGAAATACACAAAGTCACCAGCAACACAAATGAAAATAAACGTTACAAATCCACGCGCTGTGGCGCTAAATGCACCGCGCACAACACTAAAGAAAAGTCACGTGGTGGTGGTGGTGGTCATCGCGCACGCCGCGTTGACGAGCGAGCGCTTCAGAAGGTGAACACGTGGGGTGGTGCCGTCCACGCTGGTACAGAGAGGGGCTTGTCCAGCACCCCCCCCCAGCGTTCGAAGAAGACGCGCTGCACATCACCGGCACGTTGTGTGTGGTACGTGGCGTGCTCCAGCCGGAACCGCGCCTTGAGCAGGCCCCTGAACACTGGAAGTAGCACAGAGCAGCCGTCAGTGTCACCTTCCAGCGTCTTATTCCTCGTTCTGTACACCGCCATCTTCGCCTGAGCACAGGCGAAGTTGGCGAGATGGAGAGAGAAAGAGAGAGAGAGAGATGGGGAGAGCGAGAGCTGGGTATTTCCCGTGCTCTGGTCGGTGCCAGGGTGTGTGGGCCGGAGTTCCGCCACGCGCGGCTGACCCACGCCGTGCCGGCCTTCATGGAGCCGTGGGCAGCTGGAGGAGGCCGCGTGCTCGGTGGCAGATGACGGTAGAGAGCTCTGTGCATGGAGATTGTGAGTTACCCGTCGGAGGCCGTTTGACTGCGGGAAGGGCTGGGTGCAGATGCAGCGCTTGTCGTAGTTTAAAAAAAATATGACATAGAAAACAGGGAGAACATTGAGAGAGAGTAGCGAGAGGGGGGGGGGGGTAGAGAGAGAGGGGGTAGAGAGAAAGGGGGTAGAGAGAGGGAAGTAGAGAGAGAGAGAGGGGGTAGAGAGAGAGGGGGTAGAGAGAGAGAGGGGGTAGAGAGAAAGGGGGTAGAGAGAGAGGGGGATAGAGAGAAAGGGGGTAGAGAGAGGGGGTAGAGATAGAGGGGGTAGAGAGAGAACGGGTAGAGAGAAAGGGGGTAGAGAGAGGGGGGGTAGAGAGAGAGGGGGTAGAGAGAGAGGGGGTAGAGAGAAAGGGGGTAGAGGGAGGGGGGGTAGAGAGAGAGGGGGTAGAGAGAGAGGGGGTAGAGAGAAAGTGGGTAGAGAGAGGGGGGCAGAGAGAGAGGGGGTAGAGAGAGAGAGGGGGTAGAGAGAGACAGGGAAGGGGTAAGGAGGAGGAGCTGAGCGTGCTTCTTCGTGTTGATGTTTGTGTCGACGAAGAAAGTAGCACAGATTGGTTTTATTGCACAATGGGAAAACACGTATAATATTTCATTTAAAGAGGGGGGAGAGGAGCACATAACGCAAAGCAATGGAAAAAAACGAAATCATGAACGAAGTAAAATGCCGACTAAACCAAGCAATTTCTTGCTTCCTCTGATCGCAAAATCAAAAGAGCGAGAGAGAGAGAGAGGAGAGAAAGAGACGGAGAGAGAGATGCAGAGAATTTTTTAACAACTTTTATTACCGCCAGCAGCAACAGCACAGGAGCCGATTCCGATATGAAACGCACAAAGTCACCAGCAACACAAATAAAAATAAACGCTACAAATCCACGCGCTGCGGCGCTAAATGCAGTGCCCACAACACGAAATAAAAGTCACGTGGTGGTGGTGGTGGTCATCGCGCACGCCACGTTGACGAGCGAGCGCTTCAGAAGGTGAACACGTGTGGGGTGGTGCCGTCCACGCTGGTACAGAGAGGGGCTTGTCCGGCTCCCCCCAGCGTTCGAGGAAGACGCGCTGCACATCACCGGCACGTTGTGTGTGGTACGTGGTACGTGCTCCAGCCGGAGCCGCGCCTTGAGCAGGCCCCTGAGCACTGGAAGCAGCACAGAGCAGCCGTCGGTGTCACCTTGCAGCGTCTTATTCCTCGTTCTGTAACACCGCCATATTCGCCTGAGCACAGGCGAAGTTGGCGAGGTCATGGCGCTTGTTAGCCAGGTAAGGCACCACCCCGTATACGAAGCTGCTGTTGTAGAAGGGCACCCCCCAGTTTCCTGAAGATGTCCCCCAGAAGGCGGAACGTTGAGTTTGAGCCACTGCCAGTGTAAGTACCGGTGGGGCAGATCCTCCCTGGCACCGCAGTGAATGCACCAAGTCTGTTACCCCCTGGCGAGATTCGGCTGAGCCACATGGCCGATGGCAGCGTGCCAATCTCCACTGGAGGTCACCGCAGCGTTTGGCTACGGGAGACTTTGTACATTTGTTTCCACTGAGGGGCGGCTGCAATGAGGGGACGGAGAAATCGTCTGGAGAGAGCGACACGGGGAGAGAGCGAGATGGAGAGAGCGAGATGGAGAGAGCGAGAGAGAGATGGAGAGAGAAATGGAGAGGAGAGAGAGAGACGGCTCCATCCCCTGGTGGGAATCCCACTGACTCCAAAATCAATAATCCCCCCCCCCCCGTGCCTTCAAACCCTCCATCCACAACACCACCTCCCCCCTGCACTCTATCTGGTGACGAATCTGGAACAGCAGCAGCGCGTTGTGATCTGGTGGCACGCGCGGGGTCCTGGACACGGGGAGGACAATTACTGGGGGAAAACTCATTCGCGATTCCACCCCCGTCCCACCAGCCACGAGATCTGATGAGGCGGAGGAGGAGAATCCTAGAAACCGTGTGTGGGTCTCTGTGTGTCTGTAGGTGGGGAGCGGTAGTGTAGCGGTTAGCGCGCTGTGCTATGAACCTGGCGACCAGGGTTCGATTCCCGCTCACGGCCAACACCAGTGACGATTACCTGAACCGGTCCTGGGCCTCCCCTAGGTCGACTCTGCCTGAAATGAGTACCTGGTGCGGTGTGTAGTGAACATCGCACACTGAGGAGACAAAGGCGGTCGGGCGTGGTGCTGGCCACCCATCCCCTCGTGTGTCGTGCCGGCTTTCATAGGTGCTCACTAACAGCACTTGCCCCTACAGTCTGTTAAGGCTACACGGGGGATCTCTTTGTGGGTTGCTGTGGGTTGCTGTGGGTCTCTGAGCGTGTCTGTGGGTTTCTGTGCGTGTTGTTGGGCGCGGTGTCCGACGTTTCGCTCCAACTGCCTGCGAGAACCCCCTCTATCGAGCATGGCCTCCAGCAGTAATGTTTGGGTCATAACGGTGGGTAGGAGATGTTAACCACCTCGCCTAGTATGCAGGAGGTCGTGCGTTCGATCCCGACCCTGACGCCTGCTGCTGTATATTTGGAGTCTGCGTGTCTCTCTTTCATCATCATCATCACGGTGGCTAGGAGATGTTAACTACCTCGCCTGGTATACAGGAGGTCGTGGGTTCAATCCCGACCCTGACGCCTGCTGCTGCTGTATATTTGGAGTCTGCGTGTCTCTGTTTCATCATCATAATCACGGTGGCTAGGAGATGTTAACCACCTCGCCTGGTATATAGGAGGCCGTGCGTTCGATCCCAACCCTGACGCCTGCTGCTGTATATTTCGAGTTTGCGTGTCTCTCTCTCTCCCTCTCTCCCAGTGGTCTTGTGGATTTGTCTCCTGGTCCTCCGTTTTTTTTTTGCCCCCCTCCACATTTAGAACGAACGTCACCGCGCGTTTCGGGTATTTGTCCGCTGCTCTCAATGTCCACGTGATGGTGATAACGATGACGATGAGCAACTTCGTTGAGCCGTGGCCAGAAAGAACAACGTAGCTCAGTTGGGGGGCGGGGGGGGGGAAGGGGGGGGCCTTACCTGGTAGCGTAAAAATAGTGAGTCCGTCGGTTTAGTTTAAATCGACGCGAGCGACAGGAACCCCGTGACACTGTTTAATTTGCAGCGTCTATTCAAGAATACTCGTCGTGACATTCCCCGAACGATGAAAAAAAAAACGAAATGCAGCAATCGTTGCGGAGGCTGGCGTCGATGCGGGAACAGCAGCCGGGTAAACTGGATGACGCTGCGGAAGAAATATACAAACACGATCCGACACAAACTAAAACACTTTTTAGAGTGGTTTTTTTAAAAGTTTTTTTTTTATTACCAGGTTAAGTCCGCACTGAGCTATTGTTTGGGGTTTTTTTTTGTTTTCAGAAGCCACCTGACCGCCACGAAGTGGGCTCATCGTCGGCATCATCATCGTCGTCGTCATCATCACGGGGACATTTACAGCTGCAGCAGCAGCAGCCAAATTACTCTCAACGCGTGACGGCGATTCTAAATGTGGAGGTGGGGAAACCCTGGAGCAAAAAAATCCACGCCCGGCCACTACCGGGGAGAGAGAGAGAGAGGGAGAGACAAAGGCGGCCGGGCGTGGTGCTGGCCACCCAAGCAACGCGGCATGCCGTTCCGGCCTTCTTTGGTTTGGCTAATACCAAACCACGGCTGGGTAACGGTGCCGGATGAAGCGAATGCGGCGCCTGTAGCATGATGTCATGAAAAAAGGGGCCCCTAAATAATTAAATAAAACACGTAAATATTAAAACACAAATTTGTAACTTGTACAGTAAAGTAATTGTATTTTTTCATTTGCTACGCGGCCATATGATACGACAAATCGCTAACGTTAAACACCCGGTCGTTCGTAAAAGTCGAAGGCGGTATAGTACTATAGTAATAGAGCAAGTGCAGAACCACCGAACCGGAATTGATAGCTTGAAAGCGTTTAGCGAGGGGGGCCCTTGAAAGTGCGGGGCCCGTAGCTA